CAACCAAGTATTGAGTATTGTACATGCTCATATTTTTCATTTTCATACTTTTCAGTTGGCCAACATTTAGAAAAATCCCTTTTTTGTATTAGCCTTAAGTAATATTCTAATTTAGTGACACACGGAACTTTGGATTATCATTTGTTGCCACTTCAAATCATCAAAATTAAATTAAATAAACATTTGAATGCATCAGTCTGTGTGCAATGAATAAATATAATGTACAAGTTACACCTTTTGAATGCAATTACTGAAATAAATCAAGTTTTTCAAAATATTCTAATTTACTGGCTTTTACCTGTAGGCACTGTAGTAGAATGGGATAACTTTGAAGATAATGTAAAAGGCAGACTAAAAAGGGTACTGTGTGAGGGTACAATTAATTTTAATTTTATTTACTTTAGAGTTGTACTTTTTAACTTTTATTTAAACTCTCAGTCTGATTGATATGTCAGTTTGGTATGTTGCTCTAGAAACACACAAAATAAACACACTCACATTTCATATCACATTCCAGCAAAGTCTGGTGAACAGCGGCTGGCCTGTTGACGTCAGATATAACTGGCCAATGAACCTCGGTTGTGTAAAGTCTAACTATTTGTATGTGTCAAGCCCAGTCCAAGAAGGTATCTATGAACCACACTGGACCTCAGTGATAATTGTGAATGAGGTCATTGGTAAAGTCACACTCTTAACCCAGCGCAAAATACTTAACTTGTGACCTGGATAAATTACACTTTTGTGCACTGGCATCTTTATTTTCTTCTTAGGCTTCCAACTTAACTTCCTTCTACAAAAGAGTGCAGCCATGTCTGTGGTTGCTTCTGCTCCTTTCCTGTTTTACTTGCATTTAAATTATTCTACTTTTCCTCTCAAGTGTTATGATTATAATCTTTTACTTTAAGTTTCCCCAAGACTTTTTGAAACATTTTTATTATTTTACTCCATAGACTTACTTAGCAGGAGATAACATCATCAGCAATATGCCCCCTGAAGATGACTAATTTAATCCCCTTCAGAAAATAGACATGCGTGGAACCCAAAATCCAAGATTAGAAGTAGGTGGAAATAAATGGAATATTTTGATATGATACAACTTTACGTATAGCTAAACTCAGTGGACATGATCCTTGTGAAAACTTGAGCAGTTTCCCCTTCTGATCCCGATGTAGCCACAGGAGTCTTAAACACACTGCGTCACGTCCATCCATTACCCGTCACTACATTTCCCAGCATGCAACACAGACCGGCCGTCGTGGCGGCCTATGGTGGCGGCGGCAGTTCCAAACATAATTCACACGGTATTTTACACTAGATTTAAGAAATGACAACAACACCTTCCACTTAGCAAACTTTATTTACTAAACATCTTAGCGAACAGTGAGGTACCCACTGCTTCAGCTTCATTGTACATTCCGTAGTTGGCAATAAAAACTTCTCAGTCAAACATACAACTTCCGACACCTTCTCGCTCCTGTCCGTCAGTATACTGGTCCGTGTGGATACGGGTACCGCATTGGAGCCAAGTTCTTATCCATTGTGCCGGGGCATTGGAAAGGACTATGGTGGGACAGGGGTGTTAATTGGGACTTTAATGTTTGGAAAAACTGTTTGCATGGTAGTTTAGTGAATTTTGATTGTTATCGTGGTTCAACTACTTCATAATTATGAATGTTTTTTTTCTGAGTGATGCTATTGGCTGTATGATATTTCTTACCATGTTAATTGTGCCTTATTGTGATTTGCTTTCCTGTTTAGTTGGGCTTGCCCAATTAGATAGTGATTGGTGCGCCTATTTAAGGGGCACACTCAAAATGGTTTGAGAGACTGCTTAGGAAGGCTGTATGTGATGTCAGCTTGCTGTAAGTGCAAGGCTGTAAGTGCTTTGTATTGCCTTTTTTGTTTGTTTGTTTTTCTCTTCACCTTCGTACTTGTAAATAAACTGCCACAACCTATTCACTGGAGTTCAGTCATCCGCTGGTTATTACGACATTATTACAAGTCCTCTGGTTACTTGTCTTCCTGACGTGAGACGGGGGCTGGCACGCAGGTTTATCACAATCCTGCTAACTGACAGATAATTAGCTCTAGCAAGGCTGTATTGTTTTGAGTAAGAAAATCCTCAAGTAATGTCTGAAGTGTGCTTGGTGCAAAGCAAAAGAAATAAAAATCTCACAGGAGAAGATATAACAGCCCTGCCTGGTGATATCTGTGATGCATCCAGCCGGCCACCACTACCAATGAGACCAATCTTCCTCAACACCAGTTGTTAGCTAGACAGAGATTTCGACAGTTGTCAATTGAAAAGCAAAAAATAAGCTTTCTCCTCCTCTGCAAGCAAACATGCCTCAGAACAGATATGCAATGGTACAGAACTCTAGATATCCATCTACTGATTTGAATAAAGTTTCTTCACGCGGCAAAGTAAACTGGAAAAACAACTCAGAAAGTAGAAACCTAAGAGGGAAGCTAATGCCTAATGCCTTGGTGATGCTGCTGTGAAGGACGTAAGATATGTGTGTGAAATGTAAAAAATGTACTTTACTTTCCAAAGGATATGGTATCAGGTGTGAGTGACATCATTGTGCAAATTCTGGTTGTGCAACTGATTATCAAGACCCTTGTGCTGCACCTGGGTTCTTACGGTATCGTGAAACTGTAGTTCAAGGTGCTAGTTTGGCACATTTAATAGCTGGATCCTGAAATGCTTATTAGTAGCCCTGTACCACTGATGCAAGGAGAAGAGAGATTCAGAAGGGTATTTAGCCTGAACAAATGGATGTCAAGTGTGTACCACATGCTTTATTCAATTTCACTCATTTTTTTCTGGGACAGCAGACAATATTTTAAGGTAGACGATCTCTGCCTTTACAAAGGCAGGGGCCTGATATAGAAATAGATCCATTCATCCCTGCTTTGATACGTAACAGAAAAGGATTAGTCAGCTTTCAGAGCCCAAAACATTCTTTGCATTTATCAAATTTTGTATTCAGTGCATGTCGGTCACAGCCAGCCGATGATAACACACTTAAACAAGCTAATTTAAATGTAAATTCTTTAGCAGGGAAAACCTTTTTGATTAATAATTTTATTAAATCTCACACCCTTGATTTGAAGTGTTTAACTGAGAAATGGCTCAACAAAAACACCACTAATGCAGTCCTGATTGAGACTAGTTCTCCTCACTTCAATTTTGTATCTGAAACACATTAAAACTAAAGGAGCTGGGGTGTTTGTGTCATATTTAGGGACAATGTACTCAACCATAAATTATCATATGGGTTTTTTTTACTTCATTGAGCATGTTTTTGATGGAAATAAAAACATCTCCCATTCTTTATATTACCATCTATAAACCTAACAGAGCTATTTTATTTATTACTTACAGTTGTATTCACTGTTGATAATCTGTTGAACTCTTACACATCAAATGCCTTAAAGTTTTTGGATGCCATTGCTCCTGTCAAGGTTAAAATGGTTAAATGTTGCCAAAAGGCACTGAATGGTCATGGCACTGAAAAGGGAGTGCAATCTTTCTCCATTATGGAGAAAGATAGGTCCAGTACAGCCTCTCCGATGTACAGTGCGTCTCCAAATGGCAGCTCTTCTCCTGGTGCCGCTGAAAACATTTTCACATTAACAAAGATCCCCCAGAATTGTTTATTGCGAGAGCACTGCAGCCATGCATCATGTTTTCCAGGAAGCACACTTGCTGTTTCCATTCCCCCAAATTGTGGTTTAGCGGAGGACAGAGCTGACCGTCACAATCTTCTGTATATGATCGGTGGCCTGGGCAAATGGCTGTAGTACATCACAAAGCTCCTTCATCAATTTCCACGCCTTAGCTCAGAAGATTAGCTTGTCATGTCCTGTGTCTTGTTACAAAGTTCCTGATGTCTGAATGAGACCACAGCTCTGACTTGGTGGAGAGTTGAATTCCACCCTGTGTTCACAGCAGCAGGGATCCCTTGATGCCCAAACTTATCTTAAAAAGCATCTTTAAAGGTGTTGGATGAATGCAGGAGAGATCTGAGTTTGGAGCATTTTGCAACTGTGCTGTTTATAATCTGTGCAGCATTGAAGCGATCACCATGAGTTAACTGCAGCGCATGGGAAAAGCATTGCTGACATTTAGGGCTTCCTGTTACGTTCGGGATTGTTTTGTGTGTGACAGGGGGCGTGGCTGACTTCAGCTGGTGCGGCAGACTGGACACCTGGACCTAATTGTTCAATCAAGACTGCAGTCTTAAGCCCGTTTGTCTCAGCACCATGCTGCCATAGATTTCCGTCATGTTTGGGTCCTCATGGTTTCAAGCTCCACGCTCGGCCCTGCAAGTCGGTCGGCTCCCTGTCTCCACTGCCTGCGTAATTAAAGCATTTTTGAACCTGCCATTTGCCTCAGCCTCTGCTTTGGGGTCCACTAGCGGACCGTAACAGAATTCTCTGGCCAAATATGGACCCCGCAGAGGCAGAAAAGGTGAAGCAGGTTTTTTTTTAGACTGAGAAATTTAAACGTGCCATTGCCTCACAAGGCGAGACTATGAAGCAACATGGAGTCGCTTTGGATGAGATCATGTCCACTCCTCAGAACCTTTCTGTGGGCATGAATCAGCTCAGCGGCCGGTTGGATGATGTATCAGCTCGTCTGTCTACACAGAGACCTGTGGATCAAGCCCAAGCCCGACACTCAGACCAAGCATCCGGGACCTCACTCCAGACTACCAATCCGTTGGTGTTTCCGTCTGCACAGCCCCGTGAGCCATTCATTCAGAGGGCTGGGCGGCTCTGCAGAGTCACAGAGCAAGGCCCCCCAAGCAGTTCCCACTACCCGAAGAGCCTTACTCCCCGACCCCGCACAACACACCCCCCCCCCTGGGCCTAATGTGTTCGTGTGGGTGCCATAAAAACACGAGGTGAGAGGTCCTGCAAGGCGGGGAAAAGAGAACCTACTAGGAGGCACCCTTAACCAAACCCAGTGGACACCTCCATAGTCCCAAATCCCTGTGTGGTGAGTGCGTTCTGTGTACTGGAGCCTGGGGGAGAGGGGTAAGGGGGTGCGAATCGCGAAGAACACAGTCCAGCCTGAGAGGGCAGCCGTGCTTGGCTGCATTGGGCACCCCCACTCCCGGAGCCCCGCCCCTGCCTGGAGGTCCGAGAATCCCCCAGGTCCAGGCCCGGCAAGGGGGACCACCCCCCGACCGGAGGGCACGCCACAGCGACACCCGAAGAGGGGGGGAGAAGGGGTAAAAAAAAAAGGGAAGAGAAAAATAATAATAATAATAATAATAATAATAACTAGGTTAAGGGGATAATGGCAAATAAATGAAAACAACTAAATAGATTGCCAAATAAAATGGGGGGTGCGCAGGGGGGTGGCCTCACACACACACCCAAGCAAACTCAGTCACAACTGTCTGGTCCTGGACCCATCGCCGCCTAGCCCCGCCCACTCAGCCACTGACGAAAGGACGCCAACCCCACCACAACTGCCACCACCCACCCGGGCACATCAGAGGGCCCCAGTGAGCCAGAGCAGCACCAGGGCTCGCACCGTCCCACCCCCACCACGGCAAGCCCAAGGTTGCCAGGCCCGACTGGGGACCCCACCCCACGCCTCAAGATAGCACCATCAGGGCACCCCCCCAAGCCACCAACCAGGCAGAGGCCAAGTCACCACCGCAGAGATCCACCCAGCCCCGCAACCCGAGAGACCACCATGATCCCAAGTTCTCAGGTCCCCCCAAGCCCCCCATTTGACCGCCCAAAGCTAGAGGACGGCAGCCTGCCGCCCCTTCTAGGTGATGAGCTTAATAAGAGGGGGCCAGAGAGAATGAGAATCATTCAATTGATTCGTTGAGTCGGCAGACCTTATTTCCTGATATGATCTAAAAGATAATTCCTAAATTGATTGATATTAAGATTAGTTTTCATTTTCCAGTTCATGTGAATAGTTTTCCTTGCGATGCACAACACTGTGAGGACCATTTGTGCTGACTTCCTATCTAAGTTGATTCCATTTAAATCTCCCAGTATACACAGTTTGGAGCATGCAGGGACACTACACTTTAGCCATACTGATTTCTTACAGACCTCCAGCCAGAACTTATGAACAGGTGCAGAGAACCACAAACCATGTGCATGTGTTGTTCGTGCAATGTGTACAGATATTAGAAGGTGCAAGACCCATCCGGAACATCCTTTGTCCTGTATAGTGCGTTCTATGAATAATTTTGTTTTCTATAAGCTGCAAATTGGGATTTGTAGTCATACTGAAGATGTTTGAACATATTTGTGGCCAAAAAAGACTGTTAGTAGTGAGTGATAGATCTGCTTCCCACTTTAACGATGGCAGAGAGATTGTGTCATCTGTCTTTTACAGTACATCTTGGATATTAATTTTGGGGTGCAGACGTTGAGGTATTCTGCTACACCCCTTGGGAGTTGCAAGTCCAGCTGGTGGACAACATACCTCTTGGTTATTACGGATTTGAGTTGATGGTATTCTAGAAATTAACTGCTGCTAAGCCCATATTGAGATGTTAACTCATCAAATGGGATGAATTTTTCATCTTGAATTATATTATCTAAATGTTTTAATGCAGGGGCGCAAGGAGAAATTCCTTTTCTTTTCTTGGGAGCTTAACCCTTTGAATTTTTTTACAGAAGAACATTTAGTTGTAATGCTTTCTGTCTCCACACAAAAAACGTACATCTTCCAGTCCCATCTTTTCGTTTCTTGTTGAGGCATCCTTTCTGTCGGACTTCTTTTCTGGACACTATTACACTTCCTCTGTCTTTCCCCAAGTTTAAATCTTTCCGGAACATTTTTAGGAACCCTTGGAGCTCTTCAAAGTGATTTTCTGGAGTTATTTTATTTGTGGATCTAGCATGAAAATCATCCAGTCTCCCTGAACAAAATCAGACTCTCAATTGTTGATCAATAGTGGGTAAGTTCCCCAGTTCTGGCAGATCTTTAAGGGCTTTTTGTACAATCTGTATCCCATGCATACATGACTTTGGTTGCCTCTATTAGCCTCCCTTGAGAGGCTGAGATACACCTGGTAGCCCTCTAGGTGGTAATTCTCACCTACCAACAACCATAAGGTTGCTTGCGACATCAGAATATTTTTCTGCTCAAATTTTAGCTCCCGTGAGTTTACTTGTTGACATGTCTTGTCCACAGGTTAACAGGTGGATTAGGTTTTTGCAATTTCTTAGAATTTTCAGCCTCACGTGCATTATTTTCTATGTCCTGTTTGTTAAGACATGGTTCTTATTTTGTTGTCCAAGCCAGCAGACCACTTCGGTAATAATCATTGGCCTCCAATAGCCTCCTTAAGTGTTCTGAGAGTTTATTAAATCCCTCTATCATTTCTTGTGAAGCTGAACTTTACAATGGAACTTTTCTTCTTAAGCTGTTGAAGAGTCTTCTCCTGCTCTTCTTCTATGTTGAACTCACAGCTCTTTGAAATTTTGCACTTATGTGTCTACAGCTCTTTAGACTTCCAAGGCCATGTATACTTCAGTGCAAGCTGTAGAGTGGTTATCGACTATAGAGTCATTTTTCTCTGCCTAAACTCGAATAGGAATGTCACCCAACAAAAAATGCTTAACAACTCCATTCAATTTGTCTTTTTATTTATATAGTTTTATATAGTTTCTTGGTTCTTTTACAGTTGTAAATATAGTTTAAGTGATAGGGTAATAAACTTAAATAACGCAAAAATACATGAAGTAGTTTTAAATCCTCATCTCAGCAAACAAATTTGATATTCTTAATATTTAGTACTAATGTACCAAATATTTAAGCACAATCTTGTTAGGAAAAATGTCAAATCAAAATAAATTTACACAACCCTTAATTTACAAAAAGTAAAAGTACACACCAAAACTATCTCTGTGGTAACCAAACATTTAGCAAACTGCAGCCACTCAAAGGTATTTCACTTCCAATAATCAAACCTCTGTCTCTACCTGGAGACAAGGTAAACACATCTACAGGTCCTTTCTCTATACTGCCCTCTTGTGTGCTAATAATTTACCAAACAACTTCCTGAATGAAATAACAGTTCTTTTCCTGTGTAATACAACAATGCTTGGTTGCCATCTATTGCAGAAAATAATTTTGGTTTGCAGCTAAATATTTGATACCAATTATATTTTTCAATTTTGTTTAAATCTCTCAGTTGTCAAACATATCAATTTAAATTTCCCTTAAAGACAACATTTAATGGATGGCAAGGTGGTTAGCCCTGTTGCCTCACATCAAAAGGTTTCCTGGTTAGAGTTTATGGGGAAACAGGAACATTTCTGTGTGGAGTTGCATCCTCTTTTATATAAGTTTGTGTAAATGGGTGAGTAAGACTTGCAGTTCAAAAGCATATGTTGCCTTTAAGAGGTTAGATGAGTCATAAGAGCTACTGTATTTATCATTTACCATACCATTTACTATTCTGAGCTGTTGAAAGATAAAAGTTTCCACTGTACTTTGTTTTGTCTTAATTTTTGTCTCCTCTGAATTTTATTTTTCACTCTGTAGTGGAAATGTGATAAGTGACAGTTTATCATTTTTGGCATCAAGATTTTTTTGTTTTAATCCTGAAAATAAAAATCTGTGTAATCTCTTATTTTGGCTGTTTTCAATATTTGACACCAGTTTTCTAGAGATGCAATATATACAAGTGCTTTCATTTTCTATTTAAATGTTTGTATTAACTAATACTTATGATATTATAGTTCTTAAGTCTATCATTTTTACTTTTTATTTTTAAATAAATCAAGGCATCTAGGTTGACGGTTATTGCACGTGCGATACTGATAATTTGCGGGTGGCCTTTCACTACAATCCTATACTACAAAACTATCTATCATCAGAAATTTAATGATGAACCTGCAGAAAAATGTGCCAAACCATGATCATCCTGCCTTGCCCAGTTTTTGACCTTTGTCCTTCTAAAGCCATGTCCCTTCCTGCTATTGTGCCATCTGTGGAATCACACTCCCATTTCCTTTACTCTTCCTGCCTTCTTTACGCTTCCTGCCTTCTTCTTAACCTGACACATTCCAGAAATGTCAGTCAGTGTCAAATGATCCACAGAAATTGTTAGAAGAAAATGCAAGAGCAGCTATGTAGACTAAACATAAAGCTTCCAAATACATGTGCCAAACATCTTCATTCCTTCACTTTTTGGGGGAAAACAATTTGTGTCTAGAATACTTAAATTAATCAACACAACATTTAGGGTATTTTATTGTATGATAAGTCATGACCACATAATCACCCAAAAAAAGATGAAGTTTTCAGTAATGCAGATTTGTTTATAGTTGAACAGATTATCCTATTTTGCAAGAGGTTCACATTTGCCTGATGATTGCAGGTGATTTACTATACTACAGATTCTTAATGTGTCATTATTCTTTATAGTGATATTACAGGCACTGTCATAAGATACTGTGAGAATTTGCAACTTTGGGAAAAAAAGAAATTTCCAACTTCTCTGTGCTTATGTGAAAAAGAAAACACAGTGAATTATGAAAAGACGTTTAATTGATGCTTCTTAAATGCTTAGAATTCATTCAGTGTAACTCACAGTTACACTATTGTCAGCATATTTTTTTCTGTCTTTTTTTATGTTCGCACATCAGACTGGCTGGTGCTGGCATCACTGAACTTCTGCCGTTTCCCCAGTTCTTCCTCGCTTGCTTTAAGAGTACAGGGTTTGGCCCCTACCTCCACCTGGTTTACAGTCCCTTCTCTGGGTATATAGTTTACTACAGTGTTGATCAAGTTGTTGCGAAAACTCTTACTGAGGAAGTTGTAAAGGAAAGGGTTTGCGACACAGTGGAAAAGGGAGAGACTTTGAACTACGCTAAATGAGAAGTAGAGGATTTCCACAGTGTTGCAGCTAAAAACATGTGGGTCGAGATCATCTATGATAATCAGGAACATGACCAGATGGTAGGGCAGCCAGCACATAACAAACACAAGTGAGTACACATGCACCAGCCACACGTCCCCCCGGCCTTGCACATCTGGCACTGTTTGAACTGCACGAGCAATCAATACATTGCAGGTGATGATGACAGCAGCAGGACAGAGAAACTGGAAGAACAAGGTAAGAAAAGCCACCGACACAAACCATTCAGTATAGTTGTACTCCGGCAGCATATAGCAGCCTGGTTCATCCCACTCAAGAAGATCCACATGGACATTCTCAATCAGAGCCAGAAACAAGGAGAACACCCACAGACCTCCACAGACCACCCAGCGCTGCCTGCCAGTTACAGGGAATAAAGCTGAGGATGATGGTCTTGTCATCGACAGATAGCGTTCTAGTGTCATGAAGGCCAGGAAGAAGGAGCTGCTGTAAAGGTTGACCACATAGATGAGGTTGGTGACCTTGCATAGAAAGTGGCCCCACAGCCAAACCTTATCCATGGTCACCTCCATCATGAAAAACGGCAGGATCACAATCACCATCAGATCTGACAGGCTCACATTGATGATGCAGAACAGGACCCCGTTGGCTGAGTGTCGTCGACGCCAGTTTACCCAGACGACTATCAGGTTCTCCAGCAGGCCAATCACAAAGATGAAAAGGTAAAGCAGGAAGAGGACAATACGTCTGTAGTTTCCATCTAGCTCAATGGTGCAGTCGTACACAAACCATGGTGTGCCATTCAAGAAGTCCAATGAGTGGTTGTGTTCCTGGATGCTCATGGTCTGAAACAAAAGGCAGAGGAAACATATTTCATATCTGGCTATTGTTTAATTTGACTTGAATTATCTTTTTAGTTGTTACAAATGGAAAAGGAGAAGGAGACCACTGGGCAGAATGTTATAATGTTATGGGGGGAGAGACTAAAATTGCTTTTCAGACTACAATTTCACAACCTTCAGAGTGAGACATTTTTGGTCTCACTTAAATGTGCACTATTGATTTGTAAAGAATTAAAATGGTACACTAATTCATGACATAATTTTTTATTAAGAGCACTCACACACTAATGGCACTGTTACGAAACTTATGTCAGTCTCTTAACTTGTCAAAAAGTACTAATATGGATGCCAAGAAGCCAAAAATACGGTTTTTTTTTCCTTTTTTTTTCTAAATTACAATGAGGAATTAACATAATTAAAAATAAAAAAATTCTCAAATTGGTTTGGGAGGCGGAAAATAATTTGAAATAGAATGAATTTTTTTTAAAAAACTGTAAACACAATTTTTAAAACATAAAAAATTAAATCATAAAAACCTTAAAATGACAGATTTCCACCTGCTACTAGGATCTTCTGGAGTAATACACACATAAACAAACATACTAACATATTTAATATCTCCCTAAACACAAACAAAAGTATTAAACTTGAGGCGATCTCCTTTTCCTGTTCCACAACATGATTATTTTTAAATGTATGAAAACACCTTGTACCTTGTTTTGATGGGAAATCTGGAGCTGAAGGGCAGGTTCCTCCAAAAGGCTTGCGTTCTTCAATGTGCAGCACAGTAGTTGTCTCTTTCAGTTCTGATTCTAAGGAATATCTGAGCAATCGAGGAGCCAGGAGGTTTCTCCCCTCCCATTTTCCATTACCACCCTCTTCCCCAAACCCCCAACACACACACAAACACCAAGGGTTACCTAGATTATGTTTAAGTTTGTATCTTTAAAAATGTATTCCAGTAAAAATATCAATTGGTATGTATCGAAATATTTACATACTCCCCTAGCATTTTCAAACTTTATACATGTCATTCAAATGGAAACGGTCTCAATCGATTGCTTTCATATTAAGCAAAATCTTGTGCAGGGCAATTTTGGTCTGTAAAAGGCAGGGAAAACACAAAAGGATGCTGGACATTGGTCCCCCAAAGCCTGGTTTAGTCAATTAACTAGGTAACCTCCCAGGAAACTGAAGTCATCCAACACCTTATCCTGGATAGCCATGATTATGGATTATAGAACCATGAGAAAAACTATCTTTTTTCGCAAGTTCAAGGTGTGGTGTCTGTTCTGAAACCATTCTATCCAGTGATCAACTAGTTTCCGGCTTACTACCTTTTCTCAACAAACAGTCAACAAGTATTTCTTGAATTTATTAAGTGTTTTTGTCAAAAGCTTGTATGATTCGGTACTTTTTTAGAGTAAAGAAAATAGTTCCCACATGGCAGAGAACAATACCAGGAAGTCCCCATCAAACCCTCTGAGCTGATACAGACATAGCATAACAGTTGAGTAGCCTTCCCTTGGCTCTTGTATCTTACCATCCACAGGCATCTTCGCCTTCATATCAAATAAGTGAGTTGGTATTAAGTATCATTTCAATACATGCAGATGGTGATAGATAGTTATCTGGATTTATTAATTGCATAAATATATATATATATACAGGTAAAAGCCAGTAAATTAGAATATTTTGAAAAACTTGATTTATTTCAGTAATTGCATTCAAAAGGTGTAACTTGTACATTATATTTATTCATTCCACACAGACTGATGCATTCAAATATTTGTTTCATTTCATTTTGATGATTTGTAGTGGCAACAAATGAAAATCCAAAATTCCGTGTGTCACTAAATTAGAATATTACTTAAGGCTAATACAAAAAAGGGATTTTTTAGAAATGTTGGCCAACTGAAAATTATGAAAATGAAAAATATGAGCATGTACAATACTCAATACTTGGTTG